TAAAGAAATTAAAGAAATAATTGGGGTAGCCCCCCGGCTCACGGGACTAATTAAAATAATTAAAGAAATAATGAAATTAATGAATTAAAGAATTAATTAATTTTCTTTAATTTCTTTAATTTCGCACCAGAGAGGCCCAGAAATTAAAGAAATTAATGAAATTAATTAATTTCTTTAATTTCTTTAATTTCTCATAGGGAGGCCCAGAAATTAAAGAAATTAAAGAAATTAATTAATTTCATTAATTTCTTTAATTTCTTTAATTTCTTTAATTTCTTTTAATTATTCTCGCAAGCCCGAAGGGCTACCTGAATTAATTTCTTTAATTTCTTTAATTTCTCACAGAGAGGCCCAGAAATTAAAGAAATTAAAGAAATTAATTGGGGTAGCCCCCCGGCTCACGGGACTAATTAAAATAAATTAAAGAAATTAATGAAATTAATGAAATTAAAGAAATTAATTAATTTCTTTAATTTCTTTAATTTCGCACAGAGAGGCCCAGAAATTAAAGAAATTAATGAAATTAATTAATTTCTTTAATTTCTTTAATTTCTCATAGGGAGGCCCAGAAATTAAAGAAATTAATGAAATTAATTAATTTCTTTAATTTCTTTAATTTCTCACAGAGAGGCCCAGAAATTCAAGAAATTAAAGAAATTAATTAATTTCATTAATTTCTTTAATTTCTTTAATTTCATTAATTTCTTTTAATTAGTCTCGCAAGCCCGAAGGGCTACCGGAATTAATTTCTTTAATTTCTTTAATTTCTCACAGAGAGGCCCAGAAATTAAAGAAATTAAAGAAATTAATTGGGGGGCCCCCCCCCGGCTCACGGGACTAATTAAAATAAATTAAAGAAATTAATGAAATTAATGAAATTAAAGAAATTAATTAATTCTTTTTTTAATTTTAATTTCGCACAGAGAGGCCCAGAAATTAAAGAAATTAATGAAATTAATTAATTTCTTTAATTTCTTTAATTTCTCACAGAGAGGCCCAGAAATTAAAGAAATTAATGAAATTAATTAATTTCTTTAATTTCTTTACTTTCTCACAGAGAGGCCCAGAAATTAAAGAAATTAAAGAAATTAATTAATTTCATTAATTTCTTTAATTTCTTTAATTTCTTTAATTTCTTTTAATTAGTCTCGCAAGCCCGAAGGGCTACCGGAATTAATTTCTTTAATTTCTTTAATTTCTCACAGAGAGGCACAGAAATTAAAGAAATTAAAGAAATTAATTGGGGTAGCCCCCCCGGCTCACGGGACTACTTAAAATAAATTAAAGAAATTAATGAAATTAATGAAATTAAAGAAATTAGTTAATTTCTTTAATTTCTTTAATTTCGCACAGAGAGGCCCAGAAATTAAAGAAATTAATGAAATCAATTAATTTCTTTAATTTCTTTAATTTCTCATAGGGAGGCCCAGAAATTAAAGAAATTAAAGAAACTAATTAATTTCATTAATTTCTTTAATTTCTTTAATTTCTTTTAATTAGTCTCGCAAGCCCGAAGGGCTACCTGAATTAATTTCTTTAATTTCTTTAATTCTCACAGAGAGGCCCAGAAATTAAAGAAATTAAAGAAATTAATTGGGGTAGCCCCCCCGGCTCACGGGACTAATTAAAATAAATTAAAGAAATTAATGAAATTAATGAAATTAAAGAAATTAATTAATTTCTTTAATTTCTTTAATTTCGCACAGAGAGGCCCAGAAATTAAAGAAATTAATGAAATTAATTAATTTCTTTAATTTCTTTAATTTCTCACAGGGAGGCCCAGAAATTAAAGAAATTAATGAAATTAATTAATTTCTTTAATTTCTTTATTTTCTCACAGAGAGGCCCAGAAATTAAAGAAATTAAAGAAATTAATTAATTTCATTAATTTCTGTAATTTCTTTAATTTCATTAATTTCTTTTAATTAGTCTCGCAAGCCCGAAGGGCTACCGGAATTAATTTCTTTAATTTCTTTAATTTCTCACAGAGAGGCCCAGAAATTAAAGAAATTAAAGAAATTAAAGAAATTAATTGGGGGAGCCCCCCCGGCTCACGGGACTAATTAAAATAAATTAAAGAAATTAATGAAATTAAAGAAATTAATTAATTTCATTAATTTCTTTAATTTCGCACAGAGAGGCCCAGAAATTAAAGAAATTAATGAAATTAATTAATTTCTTTAATTTCATTTATTTCCCTAAGAGAGCCCCAGAAATTAAAGAAATTAAAGAAATTAATAGGTAAATAAATTAAATTCCTCATACAAGTGATATACGTGAAATGGACCCAAAAGGTCCCTCTCACATATATATATACATATGCATAGTTACATATATATATATAATGCTATGTTGCAATAAGTCAGCTGCCCACGCCACAACTGCCAGGAGATGCGAGCGGTGCATGTCGCTGGCCCGCATTAAGCAATTCCACCAAAGTTTTGGATATTCGAAGCCTTGTGCCGAGGAGAACATGTCCCCGTGGGTGGAGCATTGGTGGCCTGTCCTGCGATTGCTTGGCAGCATCGCCAGCATGGTGGGTGCCATTCCAGGCGCGATTCGTGCCGCATCTTGCCATTGCACATCAAGCGCGTCGGAGGTGCCCGCTTCCTACACTCACTCGGCAGATCCCTGACTGGACGAATACGCCAAGGCCTCGGATAATTCGGTCAGTTTGTCACAGCTTGGCACCTTTTTGAAGCTTCTTGAGACTCGAGCAGACTTAGATGGCAGGTGGAGGGCCATGGATGTGAGTGCTTCGGAGCCGCCTTTAAAGCCTAATCTGCGTGATAAGCAGTGTCAGCTTTATGAAATTAGAGGGTGAGGGATAGCTGCGAAAGACGTTCACACAGACCTGTAGTAGTTCTAATGAGTAAACAAGGTCGTCTCAGATGCAACTCAGTCAAAACAAGCTGGACAATGGCAATGCATGCACGGCATGATTTTGAGCCGCAGCTTTCCTGACCCCGAACTTCGCACAGGCAATGCCCTGTACATGTTAAGCACTTGCAGATGGCTGCATGCAGAGATTTTGAAGTGTTTAAGCCTTAAGCGCTGCATCATCGAAAATGCACTGGAATCTCGAACCTCGCCCTAAGCCATAAGCCAGATCCAGAAACGGCAATGTACGAACAAAAGCAGCAAACGTCATGGCCCCCAGTTTCCGTTCGAAAAGAAGCTCCGCGTGCTTTTCGCTTCGAGTTGCTCCGTCCAGACTGCGCAGGAGAGACGCTGATGCGAATTCGAAGTCGGCTGCTAGATGTGGCGCATTGGGCCTTTGTCGTCTGCAACTTAGGCCTTTGCCATGGACGTGGAGTCTTCATAATGTGTTCATGCATGTTCACGTGTGCCACACGTGCTCAGGTCATGGCCTTCGGCCAGATCCTCAGTGATGTGCTTGATGTAGGGGAAGAGTGTCTCTTTGTCAGGTGGTGCCATCGTCTTGCGAGCCCCAGAGTCTTTGGCTTTCACCGCAGCCATTGCAGCTGCGCTGGGTGCTCAGCCAGCCTTCGGCAGCCTTCGACAGCCCTCGGATCCTCTTCTCGTGACAGCCTTGCGGTTCTTGATATTCTTGGGCGGCCGATATCCAAGGGCGCTTGCATTTCGGCTTTCCATGAGGACTGGAAACCTTGAGCATTCTTGAGCTGCGTTGAGCTGAATGCAAGACATGCATGCAATAAGTGAACGGATAGCAGTTGCAATGAATGCAGACCAGGAACCGATGCATCATGACATCTGTGGCACGAGGAAGCTCATTGCGCGGGATCCCAGCAGATGCATGGCCAGACATGGTTGCGTCCAATCCCGCCTTCGTGATGAGATGTGATGCTTGAACTTGCAAACCCTGAAGCGAGAATCGAAACAAGAGGCAGTTGTAACAGTCCCTAGCACACGATGCCCATGGGCACTCGCGCGTTTGCGGACGTGAGACGTAAAGAGCAGCACCCCCGAACACACGGGTTTAATCGGAAGCGTGGCCAAACATGCCAATCCTCAAATCGGCTTCCACCGCTCAAGGCCCAGAATATCTGGGAAGACTGTCACCAATTTCTTCCTCACGCTTTTGGTGGTGACAGCCTGGCGCATAGCTTCAACAAAAGATGAGCTCGTACAGCTTGAGATGTGAGAATCCTGAACGCGGGAAACCGATTCCAATCCACTTAGGTCGTCCGCCTCTTGCTGCAGCTAGCTTTTGGCCGCGGATTCCCTTGGGTAGCCTGGCTGGAGAGAGCCCCAAAGTGAACCTCAAGGTTTTCAACAGTCTGGGTGCTGAGAGTCCGATGTGTGGACTGTGTGGAGAACCGTGGAGATTGCAGACCAAAGCTTCACCCAAGCCAGCCGAGGATCAAGCCATAGCCGCAATCTCCGGGCACCCAAAGGTGTTGACCTTACATGTGCAGGAAGGCTTGCATCCGGCAACATTCTGTTCGGGTGAACAACAGGGTCGAAGTGTAGCTATTTGTTGCTGTAGATTGCAACTGTTCTGCTTGCACCGAGGTGATGCTGGCTCAACGCCAGGGAGAGCATGTTCATGTTTGATGAAATGTGCTCCTCCCCCCGCCACGTTTTTCCAGTTAGAGTCGAAGCGCGCCCGGGTCCCCGATAAGTTGTTTTCCAGGAGCAGATAGCACAGAGGATACATGGGAATTGCTCAGAGCTACTGCTTAACCAAGAATCAGGCCCAATTGAACAGGTTCGATCCATGCAATCTCTCTGGGCAATTTTCTTTCAAGCTCCAAGACTCTAACAGGCGGATAGTCATGGCTAGTCTGTTTCACAGAAGCATCAGGCACGTGATGCTGAGCTAATGCTACACCCAAATATTGTCGGACTATGATGAACAGGATACACGATCGACAATGGGTGAAAAAGAAGCTGCGGTGTCCAGGGAGTTTCATGAGAGGGTAGCCATCAGTGCATGCTGCGCTTCGAGAAGAAATGCTGTGCGAGTCCCGCAGCTACTGCTATCTCAGTCTTTGACAGAGGCACTTGGAGACTTCATGGCTTTGAGCGTCGCACTGCCTCTACAGACCACTGCTCCAACTTCCAGAGGTCTTCAAGCACAATTGGTGCGGAAAGGCGGGGAACGTGAAAGCTTTGGAGACACTGTGTACGACACGTGGAATGTTGGCAGCTTCTCTTCTCATAGGAGTTTGCTGTCGTTCGGTCGGTATAAACGAGGTGAGAGTCCCCTCCGATTCGATCTTCAACCACGGAGTGCCGTGGACGTCTTCTGCGGCTGCGCTGCAGGCGTCGAAAAAAGGAGAGCACATCCAGATACATATAGACCACAAAGACCATGTAGATACTGCACATGCCGTGGCGCATCAAATCTTGGCGAAAGTCTCAAACTCGAAGCAGAAAGGACCGGATCGGAGAAGCGTGCTAGCTGCTAATTATAAGCTTTTTGGTTTAAACAGACGCCAGGTGTGTTGGGCGTGGTCAGACGGCACCGAGGGTGCCGGCGGCCAGCATTGCGCGAGGGTGATGTTGGCGAAAGCGCGGCCGAGGACGCATTCAACACCAGGTCTTCTGTTTGGAAAACTCCAGGGAGCAGAGGGTGTGCCAAGTGAGAGTTTTCCCGATCGGGTGAGTGTACCGGACGCACCCTGCAGTCACTGTTTGTCGTCGATTGCAGGAGTATTTCCCAAAGAGTGAGTTCCAAGAGTCTGCCACAAGCACGAAGATCCCCTGCGAGCCGGCCATGAGAATAGGCTCGACCACTGAGCATGTCAGGATATTTAAGAAGAATTCTGAAGCAGGTGATATGCCACATGCCGCATGATTCCTTGAGGCCATGGATATGACATCCACAAGATGTTGCCAAAGGATGAGCCAGAGGCCTGGGGAAAGATCTCTCCACAATCGGCTGTGATCGGCGGGGTCACCTTTGAGGACTCTGAGGGCAATGCTGGTTTCGGGTTTAGGGTTTCGGGTTTAGGGTTTAGGGTTTAGGGTTTAGGGGATTTCCTTCGGTGCGGAATTTGCGTCTTGGAGACATTCGATTGATGCCGCAGGAGTTTCCGCTGGGGGTCGTTGCTCACTCGGACGGCGACGTTGTGTACCACTCGACGACCGATGCGATCCTTGGTATCTTTGCTTCATATGCATGGACATAAGGCAGTGAGTGTTGCAGGCACAACAAAGAATCAGTATCAAATTACACTCCCGGTCACCAGACGGCATTGACTGCGCGTTGGGCGCATCTGTTGCAGCTATTTCTTGGGATGCTGAGAAAGAGAGATCTCTTACTAAGCAGCTTCGGCAGTAGTTGGATCTTGCGATTGTGTCCAGCAGTCCAGGTCGAACGTCCAGACTGGATTTTTAAGCTTCCACAAAAACAGGCTCCTTGGCACAGGTGCCCTCGGCCTCCCGGACATCGGGCAGCTTTTTCCAGACAACGACCCGCCATGTCCTCAGCCTCATCCTTCTTATTCCTTCGACTTGTCACGTTGAAGCCAAGATGCCCACATGGGGGGGTTTACGAAAGTCGGGGACCCCCAATATAGACACCCCGAATATCGTAAACCCCCACATGGTCCACATGGTCAAAGATGACTTCTTTTCGTCTGCACGCGGCGGATCCTGATCCTACCCAGGCGTTGGAGAGGCGCCAACTCAGAGCAGTTCTTCGATGAGGCTAACTGCCATTGCAGTTTCAATGAAGCATTCCGAGAGAAGGGTCCGACAGAAGAAAGACTCATTCAAAGGCTGTTCGGCTAATGGGCCTGCGCGGAGTCTCAGCAGCATTTTGAGCCTGACAGATTGAAGATGCTGGGTTTTGAACAGACTGCCTAAGCCTTGCTCAGCCGTGTTCGCAGGATATCGAATTGGTAACGTGGAGCTGTCCTCAGTATGAACATGGGGGCTTGGGGCTCCTCCAGGCTTTCATCACGACACTGGATCATAGAATGTTGATGCCAAGACACGACACAACACCATGCAAATACAAGGATCCGTAGGACTTCTCCATCAGGATGTGACGATTATTGCAGAGAAACCCCGACTAGCTGGGCGAAAGGCAGACACTCGGCAGCCTTCAGATTGTTTGCAAAGGGAGGCAAGGAGCATCTTGGGCGAACGGTATCATGTTCAGCATGCGCAGGACATGAAGGACAATATCGTCCGCATCTGTGACACAATCCCTGCACGGGTGAACCTCAAGGCCTTCTTGAGTGCCGAGCGCCCACTGAGTGCCCGCTTCGTTCACTGTGCCAGGCGAGGACTCACGAGAAGATGGACTCTGTTGGAGAGTGCCGAGCACTTGAATGTCATGTGTGCGTGCTCTTGGAAAAGGCCTGAGAAGGCTTTCTGCAGTGTGCGGAGCCTCTTTCTTTCAAGCAGCTCTGCATAAATCTGCAGGGCGCGTCAGGCAAGCAGCACTTTTCAACAGCCTGGTGTTTTGCTGTCGATGGTGTATTGGCTTATGTTTAAATTCTTCGTCGGCGAGACGCTGAAGGTAGATATTTCTGGTAAGCATGTACCAAAGTGAGCATGCTCCTGGTCTCCCGGATCAGACTTGAGGAGAATATCGCGCGGGAGTGCTTCTGAGCTCGGGATGGATGATTGAATTGCTGATCGATGTTTTAAATTTCAAGCTTATGCAAATCGCGGTGTCATGACCAACCACCTTCGGCTGATGGCCATGGGGAGGCTTCCAGGCTACATGAAGGGTCTGCTGCCCACAACACTCAAAAATAATTTCAGAATCGAGCGCGCACTCGCGTTGCCATGACACGGCTGGAGGCCCTTGGTAAGAATGGCCAAGTGTCGCCATGGCCCTTGCATGATCGTGGCAGCATGGCTTCTCTTCCGCTATGCAGGCCAAAAGACGTGTTGCGCAGAATAGCTTCTCCCGAGTACTTCTCCCGAGTTTGCTTGCATTGCATGTGCAGGATGTTTCGCCGTGGGATGTGCTGAGACTGCGTCGCACTTGGAGTTTTGCAACAGCCTTGCGTTCCTCTCTTCTCGGAGGTAAGAGACGCAGCAGGCAGCATGATTCGAGGAGGGGTGGGGGGGTTGAGGCTGTGCAAGAAACATAAACAATCAAAAATAAGCGCCTCAAACTGCCAAGTTCACGCGCAGACCGCGGGCTGCTGTGCCATCCCGTGGAATACTTGGCGCGCCTGGCACGGGTTTCAGCATGTCAACAGCGGATGACGGGGGTATAGCGCGGTATATTTTCTTACCTTAGTCTTATCTGATACCTTGTCTTGTACATATACACATCTTTCAGGCTGGGTGCCAACGCAGCGCAAGGCCACGGCTGACTTCAGCGCGCATGCGGCGAAGCTGACCGGGCCCTAGCTTATGTGGTCCAACGCCAAGGAACGGAGGTACTTTTGACTGTTGCAACTGGATGCTATTTTTTGGACATGTCTGGGGCGTAGCATCCAGTTGTAACAGTCATTGTGGGTGAGGTTCGACAACATGCGCGGCCCTGCAGCCCTCTTGGCGGGGGCTGTGGTCCCAATCGGCTTCGCGGCATCTCCAAAAATCACCTCGGAGGACCCGCCATGGCTGGCCCAAAGCTCAGTGCGGCACATGGCGTCAGTGCTGGAGGGGCGAGGTTGCTTCCATGTGTGATGGCAGCGCGTGCCGAGAAGCGGGTGAAGAGACTGCACTACGTGATTGCGTCGGTGGCAATTTGCTGCTACTTGGGCTGCAACATGCTGATCACTGTGCAGGAGGGCATGTACTGTGTACTGGCCAAATGGTCTCAGGATGGGTTGAGCAGGAGGTTTGTTGGCTTGGTTGGCATGGACATGCGTGGAGCATCATGGACCTCGCAGCTCGGCCAAGGCCACTTGACAACGGTGGTTTGGTCCACCATCACAGTGAACAAGCTCAATGAGCCTCGGCTTGGAAGCTCCTGAACGCTGCAATCCCACGTTGCCCTGCGTTGCAACCTTCCAAGGAGACCACACCACCGCAGGTAGGAAGCTTGATGCAGCTCCTGAAGCAGTACTACGAGTTGCAATGGATAGGCCAGCTCTGCTGGCTCTGCCGGCTGTGTATCAACTTGGAAGCCTTGGCATGTCTCCGGCGGCCTCATTCCCATCCACCAATGCCACATGGGTTGCAGGTTGCAATGTGAACTTCATCATGGGTCTCTTGGCGTTTGCCTGTCTACTTGTTACCTTCTCACTGGACCCTCAGCTGCATCTAATGCACTCCCGGTTTAGGGCGCCAGGGCACGGAGCTGACGAAATTTCACAAGCGCGCTTCTGCCTTTTCATCCGCCTTCCACATCCAGGCGTCGGTTTCTCCCGCCTCCCACGGCCTGGTGACTTGGCATGATTTGGAGCTTCTTAGGGCCTCTTGGCAGTGGGATGGCACCCCTTCCACTTGGGACGTTGTACCACATAGGACACACTTTGGCGTGGCAGAGGTATGCAAGCCAGTTGCGTGCACCGTCGCCGCAGCCATCTGAGTGGCACTTAGCTTCTTGAAGTAGCTCGTGGGTGGAGCATGTGCTTTTAGCATGTGCCAAAGCTATCCAGAGTTTGCAGTGACAGGCTTCATGGTCTCGATTGTCAACGATGGAGTGTCTCAAGGTGATGGAGGCCGTGGCTACCAGTTTTCTTCACAGTGGGCTGTGAGGTCGTGTCACGTGCCAGGTGGGGTCCGCTTTGGATCCAACATGTTCTTTCTCTTCGCGCGCTATGTTACGCTGCTGGCCACACATGCTCTGCCCTTTGGCGACCAACATCAATAGGGCAATAGGTTGCATTGCAGCACAAACACTGTGCAGCTTGTACGGGTTCTGCCTCTTGCGTTCTGTTTGCAATTCTGTGCAGCCAATGCAAGGAAGGGTCCCCGGCCATTGTTGCTTCTGGGATTCATCTTCTCAGGCGCTTCTGTGCAGACGCTTGCTTCCGGTTTTGTCTCGCTGCGGTGTTGCAGAGGAAAGTGTACAATGTTTTCACAACTTGAACTGCCAGGAGCAGCTGGTTACTTCGTGATGAAAATTCAGACTGCCAAAGAGACCCGGAGCGATGCAGCCGCAAAGTGATCGCTTATCCGGTGCAGTACGATACGTTCCGAAACATTATGAGACATAATACGACAGAATGCAAGCGCGGGGGACAGGTGCAACCGTCACCTGACAAAGTGTCCCGAGACTTTGCAATTGTCAAGGGCTTCAGAATCGGAGTCGCCCTGAGCCAATCGGCCATGAAAGAGACGTGTTGCATTGTCTTGCATTGTGTTGAGGAGTTGTGCCGCTTTGCCTCATGTTGTCTCAGAATTGAGGTGGATTATCTGGGATCCCGTTCTTATAATTCGAAAGTCTTAAACGACTCAACCCCAATCTCCCAAGTTGCTGCCAGCATGGCTCGGGCGCGGCTGCGAGGGCTGCGAAGGATCGAGATGGTGCAACCGCCGTATGGCATTCTACCAGAATGGGTTACTAGACCCTTTCGCCCCTTAAATCGGCCCTTTATGGGGTTGATTATGGGGATTATGTGGCCGAATAGCCCATCCTGGTAAGCAACTTCCACCTATCTACTACAAGCCGCTGTCGCACACGGCACAAGGCCTGCAGTGACTTGACATGAACTGATTTATTCTATCTCACCGCTGCTCTTGCCCTCGATACCGTATGGCGGCAAAGAAGAAGCGTGCACCGACTTTGGCGCCGGGTGACGGCAGGCAGCGGAGGGGAGTGACCTTGCAGACATGTCGATCGGAAGGGCGACTCGTACAGGAATCAGCACTTTCGGGCATTTTGGTTTTCAGGAAACGAGATTGGCCTGCCATCCTTTCCCACATTGAGTTGGAATGGGTCACTGAGCAAAGTGCCTGGACCTCAGTAAGCACACGGTGACCACCACAAGTATGAATTCAACTCAGAAGTCACAAAGCACGACCGGAATCCTGCAACATCCTAGGACTGTGATCGAAGCGCCAACAAGGATGGAGATACGGTGGCCTTCAAGCACAGAGGCTCACGGATTGCTCACGGACCTGTGAACTCCCGCAGTCGCAGCTGCCCGAAGTACAGTTGCTAGTTTGCAGCCTCTGCCTGATGTCATATCCACTGCACTGACATGTAGACACACTGTGTCGAGTGACAGGATTCATTGCAGAGCTTCCTCAAGGCAAGACTCGCGACGCGCAGGGTCGCGAGCTTCAGGCCATACCTTCGGAGCTCTGGGCTACCGAGCCTTGAAACCTCTCAGATGCGTGACTTCGAAGGTCGGGATGCAGATGGACTCCAACATTCTCCCGGAAACCAAGGCGCTTCCGATCTGCCCTGCTTAAGAGTGCCTCAGTGGCTTCACTCCCTATGCGCGCAGTACACTCAGCACAATCAGTGGGTACACCCTAAACCCTAAGCCCTAAACCCTAAACCCTATACGATTCTTTGCAGACAGGAGGACAAGCCGCTGGAGTTCATGCTGGGCACACCGAAGCTGATCGTGGGAATGGAAGCGGTGCTACGCACGATGTGTGAAAACGAAGCTGGGATGAAAAGGGGGCAGCGGCTTGGGTAATTCGCATGATGCACAAAGAACTCGCCATTTCTTGGTATTTATTGCTGCAACCAAGGAGAAGGTGAGGGCCAAGATCCCTGGACCCCTGGCTTATAACTCTCGTGGCGGATTCCTGCCGTACGACACGGCAGTCCTGTACGAGATGGAAGTCGTACAAGTGACTCGAGGCTGTGTCCAACAGAGCTCCATGTGCACGTCACCTCTCAAAAAAAGCTCACAAAACCTCAAAGGGTTTAGGGTTTAGGGAAGCAACCATGCAGACAGAGTCTCCAACAGCAGAAAGCATCGACTCTGCAGGCCAAGGGCTCCCGGACACAGCGGTGCCGGCGCCGGCATCAGCGGATGGTAGCCCGGTGGTGCAGAGAGAGTCATATTGGGAGGGTCTGCACAGGTGAGTGGAACCCGGAAGGTCAGGCAGTGAGAATCAATATATGACATATTTTTTGGTCAGCATCTGAAGCAAGGCTCAAGCAGCGTGAGCTTCAAGAGCTGTGACTACACGCGATACTGTGGACGTTTCCATAAACCCTCCCAACACGATCCTTTCGCGGTTGCCTGTCCTGACGGTGCATTGTCTCATCAAGGCACGAGCGGAGCCACGTGGCCATTGGTCGTGGCCTTGCTGCTGCTCCTGGCACTCGTGGGCGGAGGCGCGAGTGAAATCCTGAAAAAAGCTGCTCGGCATGTTTGTGATTGGGAGCTCCATGCAAGGCATCGCCTTCATTGCGAAGGGCTCTGAGAAAGCCCCAAAGAAGAGCAAGGACTTTCTGCAGCACCCAGCTGTAGATGAGCAGATTGGAGCGCTCGTTCCACACCTCCAATCTCCTATCGCTTGGGTACTGCGGCGAAAGCATTAGGAGTGGGCAATTCTGTGGGCAGCTCTCAACTCTCGACAGCTGTAACGGCTGTTGCATACTGTAACGAGCACCAGTGCTCGGACCAGGAAGCGAAGAAGGATGGCAAAAAGAAGCGCTAACGTAGTTTTCGTGAAAGCCACGATCGGTGCCATTCCCATCAATGGAGGCAGGGCCGAGCGTTTGCTGAGAGGAGCGTTTTCGCTGCCATAGCTGAGGCTGAGGATTCTGCTGGTGTTTTGGTGCGTTGTTTTCTCGTGAAGCTGGCAGGCGGTGTGCTACGGTCGACGATCGCTTCCCACAAGTGGAAGCGTGTGAGGGAGCTGGCTCTCATCGTTTGAAGGCAAATCACAAAGACTGCTGAAACGCATTACAATGCAGTGCGTGAAGTGTATTATTGAAATGCTTCTCGCGAAGCCATTTGCTTGTTCTCGATGAGCACGGGTGCCGTGTGAGGGCCGTTTAAAGTAAAGTCTACTTACTCATTCTGCTGATTATTATAAGTCGTTCTGGACACGGAAGAATTACTGTTGTGGCTAGCTCGACAGATGAAGCTTTGCAGCGGCAATGGCTAGCATTCGCAGACGGCGCTTGCGGTGCTGCGCCTGCCTGGTAGTTGCAACGACACCTCAAAGCAAATTCAAAATGTCCGTCATTTTTGATTCTTTTGCAATCTGAGCAACGAAATTCCATGAGTTTTCCTCTTTTTGTTTGGCCCTCTCGGCCAGCCAAACACCTTGGAGCTTGGCTTTCACCGCCAGAAAAGCAGAGCAAAGATTTGCCAAGGATACAAGGACACACGCTGGCTTCCGGGACTTCTGGCTTCGTGACGGCATCTTTCAGTTCTTTGCGCCGAGGGGCAGCTTGTCCTGTTGCGATTCACTGCACTTAAGATGCCAGCGTTTGCCCAGTATGGTTTTCACCTTTAGTACGTTTTGAAAGCCTTTAATAGCATGAATCATTCGAGCACAGAAATTTTGCACCCTGTCGAGACACTTGCTGGCAGCCCACGGTGGCGGTGCGCGCGGACAGCTGACATCGCCGGCCTGAGCACTGTCTCCACAGGCAGATGGGGGTATAGGAAAATAGGGACCCCCAATATAGACCCCAAATAGCAGGATTCCCTTAAATCAGATGGCCGTGCATCAGATGGCCGTGCGATGTTCTTCCGAGGGCGAAGCAGTGCATGGTTCCTTGATAAATATAGGGTGGCCAAGTCCTCAATCAAAGCTACTCAAAGCTCCCATTTTGCGGCATATGCTGCTGCAACATCGGAAAATTCCTCCGGATCTCCTGAGTAAGTGACTTACCTTTCGGAGGCGACTTGGCATTGGGCCTCGGACTGCTCAGCTTCATCGTCGCCTACCTTCCACAGGCGCCGAGTTCTGAAGCAAAAAAAGATATCAATCACGAATCACTAGCATAATGTTTTTTCACTTTGCATTTCCAAAAGCCTTGTGCTTGAAGGTGCTCCGTGTGGGCCAAGGAAGTGCCTGGCAGGTGGAGTGACTGCGGAGTAGTGGAGCCATGTGGAGCCCCTTCGAAATCTTGTCATCGGTATTGGAGTCTTTCCCCACCTCGCTGTGTGGGTTTTTTGTTTCTGGGGCCCCGGCCTCCCGGCCGCTCCCGGCCACGCCCGCCCGCCTGCACATGCTTTTGGGACCCCGCCCCGTGCCCCCCCATGTCGGGTTTGCTTGCTGCTGACAGGCGACATGATGTTTCTTTGCAGTTTATTGGTTGCGGGCAGGAGCTGATCGAGCTGCATAGTGGGAAGTCACGGCCCTTGTGCGACTGTGGTAGCATTCAAAGGCATGGAAATGGATGGCGCGCGCACTTTGCTCGTGTCGTCATATCTGACGATCGCAAGAACGGAGGTGCATAAAGCAGGAGCACTCAACAATCCAGCTTCTGCGCATTCTGAGAGTCTTTCTCCCGGAAGACTCTACGAGCAACCAAATGCGAGCTGCGCAGCGCGTCGCGCAACTTCACGATTCTTCTGGCCTGTCCTGCAGGGACACGCCCAGCACCCTCAAAATCTGGTCGTGATAGGTGGATGCCCGGCAATGCTCGTCTGCGAGGATGCCCGGCAATGCTCGTCTGCGAAGTAAGTAGTCGCCACGCCACGCCAGACGATTCGCCGTGTCCGTCCGCCCACCCCCACCGCTCCGTCTGTCTGCCGCGAACTACACAGATCACGCACGCGCTCTGCCGGCATGGCCATGCATGGAAAGCATCCTTGAGTGCACTTTATTGAAACCATCGCTGATGCGAAACGCCACGCCAGGTCGGTGGCTTTCGCTACTTTGCAAATCGTGGTCGGAAAGCCTTCTCCGACGCAACGCACGAGCTGGCTGCGAAGTATCCGGGCACCCCGTCGGATCAATCACGGTATTTCCGTATCTGTGTTTCAGGAAAGTAGCCCGCGGACTTCTGCTAGTCCAAAGTGACAGTTAAGCAAGCGGTTCAACCGATTCGAGATCAACCATCTAGTTGATTCGCACTGCCAAGTGAGGATATTCTGAGAACTCCGTCTTCACATACTTCGACACGTTCGGTGGCAAGGTTCTCCCTGACATGGGCAGCTATTCCCGCCTGGTGCGGCTAATTGATCGAGGTCTGAGAAGGAAGTTGCCAAAACAAGATCGGCGAACCCAAATAGGATCCTAAACTAGATTCGATCGGTTTATGTGGGGGGGTTCCGGGTTCAGGTGCAACCGATGTCTATGATCACAAGCGCGGGCTGGAGCTCCGCCTGCGCGAGTTCGACTGCCCCAACGTCTTTGCCGCCACATACTTCTCCGCTTCGGAGGCCTTGGAGGCCTATCTCTCGCATGAAGTGGATTGAAGAAAGAAGAGGAGACGTTTTCAACTTTTTCATGCAGCAACATCTTGGAATCCTTCGCCCCGGTACCCAGGCGACCAGCTCAGAACCTGATGCGATCTTTTTTGCCAAGCTGCCGGAGCAGAGCGGTGGCCGTGGAATCCGCGTGCTGAGCCGCGAGGCAACCTTGCCAAGCACGCACGGCGTATCATAGAGGTTTGGGGTTTTAGGGTATTCATGTGAGGCCGCTTTGATGTTCACGTTCTCGTCCGGCATGACCGACAAACAGTGCGTGCTGCACAGGACTTGTGTCAAAATGAACTGCCATCAGAGTACATCGTTCAGCGTGCAGTGCAGGACGTTCGGTAGTGGCGGGTATGCATATTGGGCAGCAGGGCACGTTGGCGTTGGGTCTTGAGAGCTGATTGCGCACGGAGGATCTCGAACTCATTGACGACCGGAAGTTTGTAATCCGATATTATTTCGTGGTGGCTCGCCCTCACTTGCCGCATGTATATTCACACGCACAGCACAAAGGCAGGATGTTGAATCCACCATGTGAGGTGCACCAGAAGCGCATCTATCTCCACGAACGAGGCGTCTTGATCGTGCACGGTGCGAGGTACGACCGTCTCAGCGTGGATTTTGACGTGCAGGTTCGGCATGACTGGCTCCTCGGCTGATACAGCAAGATTGCCAACACATCAGGGTCCACCTCTAAGTCTGGAACTGGGTAGGTTCGAGGAGAGCTCCGAGACGTACCTCCTGCTGCTGCAGTCAGCAGAGCAGGCGTGGCCTTTGCTACAGCTCGATTTTCCTACCGTGTCGGGGCAGCTGCTGGAAAGCTACATGACGTAAAGCGAGCGCGCAAACGTTTTCTTCGGGGCTTAGGGTTTAGGAGTTTTTTGAGGTGCGGCAGCCAGCAATTCTGAGAAAACTCTGAGCCAAACTCGGGGAAGCCTCATGAGTCCAGAGAGGGCTCGCAAACGAAGGCGCAGCCGTCGGCCAAGAAAACAAATATTAGCAAGAAGCTAGTTTCTGATACCTTGCGGCCACCTGGACGCGAGTTAGGAGCTACTTTTGGCGTCGGTCGGTATAAGAACCAAGTACCAGAGGTATATTGCAACATACGATTGATTTGAGGGGCCTCGGGCTCATGTTATACAGATTTGTTCTCCTTGATGTTGGCGTGCCCTTGGCCTGCCTGTTGAAGCTGGGGGGCTCAGCAGGTGAGAATTCTAGTTCAACATACCGGTGCATTTCTCGACCCTAGCTTGCCTCCAATTGTAAAGGTATGCCTGGATTGCAAAAGCATCTGGTTACTGGTTTGAAGGTAAGGA